GCTCCATTTCTGCGCTGGCGGTCGCGCGGCCGGGTGCGAAGCGAGGTGGGGCCGTCACAAGGGCTACCGCGTCCGCAGGTGGAGGTCCCGACTCGAGGGGAGCTCGCCCGATGTCTAATTCGACATGCCCGAGGCCCTCGGAGTCCCAGGCGCGGGAAGCTCAGCTATCCCGCGGGACGATGGCGACGAGGCCAGGCGCCCGCTCCCGCCAGAGGGCGGTGGAGGCGGCCCCAGGGGGAAGGGATATCGCCCATGTGGCCCCCCTCTCGACGACGAGCGGTCGGCCTCCAGGGGTCGCAGCTGGCACGGCGACGACGACCGCTACGAGTGGCAGGCGCCGGAGCTCCAGCGCAGGCTCGAGACAGTGAGGCGACGTCTTGCCGGCGAGGGTCGCGAGGCGGCGTCCGGGGCGGAGGGCCGCGAGAGTCGCCCCCTCAAGTGCCGGCGGGTGTCGCTCGCCGGCGGGTCTACCAACAGGCAGCGGATCGACGCGCCTCCGAGATCGACGCGTCGACGCGGTGCTGCCGCTCGCGGCGGGTACCTCCTACATTTTTGAGGCCTTTGTCCGCCGCGCCGCGAGGCGCGCGCATGAAGGTGAGGGCGAGGATTTTCCTTGTGCCCACCCCAGAGCGCAGGACCTGGCCGGGTTCGCCTGCCGTCATCCGGGTGTATTTTTCGCGCGTGCCGCGCAGGAGATGCAACGGTGCCTCGTGCCTCTGGGGGGGGGCGCCAGCGGCGAGGTCGGGAAGTTTTTGCGGCGGTTGGTGGGCGCGTTCCACCAGCGGCGCAGTCCGGAGGCAACTGGGCTCCGCGCGGGCCGCGAGCTCCGCGCGATTACGGGGTGCTTCGACGGGTTTCTGAAAGGCAACCTCCCGCGCGTCGCCGACAGGGTGGGCCGCAAAATTATGTTAGCCTGGGTTTATACTGTTTGGGGAATCTCGACTGGAGTCATAATGTCACCCCCCGGAACATTATGAGCCTGGGTTCTGATGTTCTGGGAAGGTCGATTTGTTTCTTCTTCCGAATTAATCACGGTTGTTATGTTGCGAGAGGGCAGTGACGATGGGCGGGGCGCGGCGATGGGCAGGGCGGGGCGACGGGCAATGCGCATCAGCAGGAACTACTTGGCGATGGGCAGGGCATATTGCGAGAATGCCGGCAGAGGTGGTTCAGAAAGACAGTGGAGCGGCGAGGCGCGGAGTGGTGCGCCACGCGGGGCGCGGTGGGTGGAAGGCCAAAGCGGCCCAGGCGCACGCGCTGGCTCCGCTGGGGGGACGGTTTGCGATAATATTTTATCATGAGGAAACGAAGCCCAAAATAGAGACAGATGGAAGCGACGCACGTCGCCATTTACAGAGCGCCATCAGCTGCATTGCCGCGATTAAGAATTTGGTTTCAGAATTAGGTTCAACAGCGCGGCCGCTTTTCATATTGGTTTCAAGAGGGCGGTTCAATGCGCGCGCTTACTTTGACGAAGAGCGGCTCAAACATGTTCTTGGGTGTTCCAACAAATGCGATGAAAACGAAAGCGGTTGGAATCATATGATTTTGTGGAGGGGGTTCAATCGCGTAGCTCAAGAAAGCTGGCGCTCCCGAGGCACCGCGGCGCACTTTGCCCGAGGCCCCGAAAGGGCCGCGCCGCGCTCGGGGGCCCCTGTCCGCGCCCGTATCAGGTAAATAGCGCTCAGGGAACATTGGCCCCGCAGAGATTGTATTAAACCCGGGTTCATGAGGTTCTGACAACAGTTGCCGCAATTTTTTGCGCCCCCTCCTCGAACCTGGGTCGTCGCGTTCCGGCAATGGGTTCGTAATATCCCGAACCATTGATTGGGGTTCGTAATTGCCCCTCCCCAGAATTATGAACTTGGCATTCAATGTTCCTGGGGGGGGATCGCAACGTTCTGGGATGGCCGGGGTTCGTAATGCCCCCCCGCCCCCCCGCTCGGAACATTACGAACCTGGGTTTGATGTTCCGAGAATTTTGATTGGGCCCCACGCGTTCCCCGCGGAGTGTTCCAGGCCCAGCTCGCGCCCGAGCGCGCCCGTAGGAGCTCCCGCCGTGGTCCAAAATTATGAGATTCCTTCCGCGCCCCCCCATAACCCGCCGCCCACCGCAGAGCCCTTTTCCCGAGCGTTCGGGCGCGGCCCCAGTGCCCCGGCGCCCTTTGGCAACTTCCGCAAAGCTCCCAGGCCGATCCCCCATGCACCATCTAAGCCCTGCTCGGCTTTCGACATTCCCCCTGGCCTCTGAGTAATCCATGCCAGCTCCCCCCGCCCCCCCCCAACCTCCCGGAGCGCCTCCCCGGGCCGCCTCCGCATTCGCAAACCATCCGAGCCCGCCCTGCCCATTTCCCGAAGCCTCGCAGAGCCCCCTATGGCACTTCCGCGCGCCCGAGCCCTCCAAAAAGCGCGGCGCCTCTGCTCTGCGCTGCCCGCCCCCGACCAGTCGCAGGCGGGCGGCGGGGATTGCGGCGGCCACCGCGCTGCGCGTACTTTCGCGGCGCGGCGGCCGGCAGCCCTGAGGGGCGAGCCTCGGGTGATTTTGTGTTCGCCCCAGCTGCAGCTCATCAGTTTTTGGCGGGGCCGCGCA